GAGACAGGGACCCTCAACATCACAGCACTGTTTGTGATCACAACACAACTTGGGGAACTGCACTCCCCACCTTTTCACCTCTCACTAGAGCTTCTAACCCAGCTCACAAACTGCTTCAGCCTCTGCAGGAATTTATTGCTGTTTATACGCTCCTGGAGTGTTTCAGAGTAGCTCTGGTCTTTCCATATGCCTTTATTTTTCTTCACAGCCTTTAACTCAGCCCGGAGGAACCTTTTGTGCAGTTTCCAGTAGAGGTGGGAGTGGTGGGGCAGCCCCTCAATCCGGGCTGCCCTGGCCAGCCCTTGGCTCAAGAGCTCTTCGTTCAAGCACGTGCTGAGAAATCCACCCTGTAAAAACCACAACAGACAGATATTCACCATTGAAACAGGGTTTGGGCTTTGGTGTGAACTCCCTCAGAGGTACAAGCCTTACTCATGGCTGTATCTGCACTTTGGCAGAAGTTAGAAGTGAAGAGGAATGCAGGTGATTTAGAAGCCAACACCAGTGTGAGGGTGGGCAGGGCTGGCACAGGGTGCCCAGAGCAGCTGTGGCTGCCCCTGGATCCCTGGCAGTGCCCAGGGCCAGGCTGGAGCAGCCTGGGACAGTGGGAGGTGTCCCTGCCATGGGCTGGGACTGGATGCTCTGTAAATCCCTTCCAACCCAAACCATGCTGTGATTCTGTAATGTAAGGCATTTGTGAGGGAACACTGGATAACAAACATCAGGCTAATCAGAACTACAGGCTGCCTTTTTGGCACATTCATGCCATGAATCAGCCTGAAAAACTGCTCCTGCAATCAGACTTGCAAATGCAACATTTAAAATTCACACCAAGGAGGATAAATCGTAAACAATAACATTTGTTAAATGTGCTAACAGTGACTACAGTCACATCTAAAACTGCAGATAAGAGCCAGGTTTTGTGTCTCTACCTTATGGACCAGAACGAGGCAGTCCAGGGCCGAGCTGTCCCTCGCCAGGAGCTGGAACCACAGGGGCTGTTTGGGGAGCAGCTCCCTCTGCAGCCAGGCTGTGGCACCTGGAGCCAGCTCCAGCCCGGCCAGGCGGATCAGCAGGAGCCCCTCTGGCTGCCCTGCAATGGAAAGGGACAAATCTGGTGCTGGGGAAAAGCTCAGGCTTTGCACAGACCCTCAGCTGTTTGTAATGCATTGATTCCCGTGGACTAAAAGAATTCCTTTTAGTTCCTCAAAGCAAACAGGAATTTGGTCTCATCTCTTTTTCAGGGAAAAAAATATATAAATTCAAGATTGCCTAATTCAAAATGAGTTTTGGATTATTTTGCATGCAAAGAAAAAGATCTGCTGCCACTCTTAGTCCCTATCCTCCATCCAAAGGGGCAGGAGCATCAGCACCTGCTGGTATTTGCACAGCCAGTGTGAGAGTCACAGACTTGATGGACAGTTTGTTTCTGACAGCAAAACTGTCCTGAAAAATGGGTGTCTGCAAATAAAAGCACAATCCTAACAGAGGCTTTTCGCCAGGAATAAGATGAGCTGTGCAAGCAGAAGCACTGCCTGAGTGCTCACTTCTGCTGCTGGAAAATATCACAGTAACTGTAAGGATGAACACAAACACTGCAGTACAAACTGTACAAACTGTACAGGTCTCCTCATGTCTTTTATTCCTCAATTTCCCACCTGCAAAGCACAGAAAGACCAAAAGACAGAGACGGAAATGTGCCTCAACCCTTCCTCTCAAGATTGCAGCACATTTCATTTCTGCCCTTGCTCTTCACACTCTTTTCCTCATTACTCACATTTTTTCTGGATGGCTGTGATGAAAGGAATGCTGATGGGAATGTGCTCAACTTCCAGGCCCTTCTCTGTGATGTGATGTAATTTCCCTCTCAGTTTCACATTCTTTTCTACAAACTCCACAGGTATATCCAAAGGATTTATGAACTTTGTTGTCTATTGATGGAAGGAAGAGAAAAACAAAATTTTAAGAAAAAATATAGAGCAGTTACAGCCACACTAAATCCAACTTCTTAAAACAGTTTGGGAAATTGCATCTCTATTATTAGACAGCATGGGCAATAAATATAGATATATATTAAATAGTGATCAGCTGCACAAGATCAGCTGTGCCAGCCCCTCCACACTTACCATTTTCCCTGTTTTTTTACAGGACTTGTATGGATATAAAAACCAGGTTTAGAGAAAGAACAGCAACTGCCATTTTTCCAGCAATGGCCATTGAAGTTCACTTGAGAAAAGAGTGTTTTAGTAGCAGCCTGAATGGGGGTGGGATGGGGCTGAAAGGAAGCCAGAGCACAGACAGCTGAAAACAAAGGCAGAGCAGGGAGGGCAGAAACAACCCCGGAGAGGGACAAAGGCAGGTGAACAGCTCTGAGAAGATCACAAGAAGATTAAATTTGATACCACAGCCTGGGAGGATCCAAAGGGGATGGTTATGTGATCACACAGGGAAACCAAGCTGAGCAGCAGCGAAGACTCGGGGCATGGCACAGGAATGGAGCAGCCACAGGTTTGGGGTGAGCGAGAAGGACACGTGAGACCCTAAAAAATTAAGACCCCCAGAATTTAAGACACTGAGGTCTCACTGTGAGAGGCCTTAGCAGAGCACTGACCAACTTCGACAGAGCTGTGAAATCCACTGAGCACTGGTGTACAGCTGCTGAGAAATAAACCCCCCAAAACACCACAACCAGAGATGTGTCTCCTGTGTGTTATTTATTCAGCAAACTTCCCCCTCGGTCCACAGGGCCTCCCACTGGGAACACTGGGAACACTGGGAACACTGGGACCTTGCAGGCAGGAAGCCTGGAGGTTTTTAGGAACAAAAGTTGTTCAAAGCTGATCTCCTTTGCTCTGGAAGCTCCACCAGAGGGGTTAATGCATACACAAGCCCTTGGGTCAAAACCTACCAAACAAAAAAACTGAGAAAAAGAATTCTGGCAACATTTGTAGTTCAGGTTTTCTGGAAGGAAAAGTAAAAGTTTTTAAAGTAAAAACTCCACACAAATGTTCTCTTATATCATTTGGAATTGTGCAGGGGGAAGATGAAGGGAACTGTGATTTTTTAAGCAGCTGGAACCCTGTGGGATCACAGTGGCTTCTGCCTGTGGAGGTTCAGCTTCTCCAGGAGTGAACAGTGCTGTTAGTCCAGCATGACCTGACCATCCTGGGAGCGAGGGAAGATTTGGGTGATGCTAAAAGCATTCAGAAACAGTTCTGTGTGTGGAAGGACAGAGAATGCTCGAGGCAAGCAGCTGTGTTTGGACAAGGGAGGGTGGTAAAGCTGCATAGTGGGATATTACCCCTCCCAGGGGAACGGGAGAGAACAAGGGACCTGTGGAGATGCCACAGGACAGCGACATCCAGCCTCTCAAGACCTGGATCAAACTTGGCTGTTTTTTTCACTCGTTAATCAGTAGCTGCAGCAGGACCGTTATGATTAAGCAGTCGCATTGTGAACCTTGCACGCTTGGCTAATCTTTAGTTTTAAGGCAAAGGGAAGACAATGCCAAGATGAATGGGCTGTCTGAGCCACCAGCAGTGAGGCAGCCGGGCTGAGCTCCTGGGGAAGGGCAATTCCAGCAGTGAGACCACTGACCACTGACCCACTGACCACTGACCCACTGACCACTGACCACTGACAGCCCAGGCCAAAGGGATCCTTTGGGTCTCAGACCAAAGGAGGGAAGGGCTGGGCCTGGTCAGCACGAGAAACCACAGACCCAGTTAACACAGTGCAAATTGATAGAAAAGTCATGGAATTCGCAAGCAGTGAAAATGCTGATGCTTTGTTAAAACACATAAATAATGTGAAGCATTGAGGAATGGGGAAGCCTTTCGCGGGAAGCACCAGCTCCTGCTTTGGGCAAAGCAGAATAAAACACGGGAACGTTTGTCCGTGCCGCCCGGAGCAGCCGCGGGCGGGACAGCTGTGAGGGACGGCAGGGCCGGGCCGGGCCGGGGCCTCCGCCGCGGGCCCGAGCGGCCGTGCCGGGCTCTCCCAGACCCCCCGGGCCCGTGCCGGGCTCCCCCGGTTCTGAGGGTCCGTGCTGGGCTGCCCCTGCATTCCCCGGTTCCGAGCGGCCGTGCCGGGCTCTCCCAGACCCCCCCGGGCCCGTGCCGGGCTCCCCCGGTTCTGAGGGTCCGTGCTGGGCTGGCCCTGCATTCCCTGGTTCTGAGGGACCGTGCCCGGCTCTCCCCGGTTCTGAGCAATCGTACCGGGTTCTCCCCGGTTCCGAGCGACCCGTGCCGGGCTCTCCCTCACCCCCCGGGCCCGTACCGGGTTCTCCCCGGTTCCGAGCGGCCCTACCGGGCTCTCCCCGGTTCTGAGCAGCCGTACTGGGTTCTCCCCGGTTCTCAGCGGCCCTGCCGGGCTCTCCGTGACCCCCCGGGCCCGTACCGGGCTCTCCGCACCCCGGGCCCGCACTCACCACACGGTAGCTCCGCGCCAGCAGCAGCACCCCGGCCACGGCCGCGCCGGCGATCAGGCCCTGCGAGGGAGAACGGGGCTCAGCCGGGCCCAGCGGGGCCGCCCGGCCCGGTACCGGCCCAGCCCCGGTGCCCGCCCAGCCCCCGGTACCCGCAGCAGCCCCAGGTGCGCGTCCGCCCACTCGGAGAGCCGGGCCAGGGCCAGCGCAGCGCGGTCCGAGCCGCTGCTGCCACCGCCACCGCCAGCGCCACCGCCCCGCTCCGGCATCGCCCCGAGCGCCCCCGCGGCACCAAACAAACACCGCGGAACACTGCCCGGGGCCACCGTGCCGCCCAGCAGCAGCCCCGTGGCCCCAAATCTGATTTACTGGCCCGAGCAGCCCCGCCCGGGACACTGCCAGGGATCCAGCGGCAGGCACGGCTGCTCTGGGCACCCTGTGCCAGCCCTGCCCACCCTGCCAGGGAACAATTCCTGCCCGAGATCCCATCCAGCCCTGCCCTCTGGCAGTGGGAGCCATTCCCTGGGTCCTGTCCCTCCAGCCCTTGTCCCCAGTCTCTCTGAGCTCTCCCTGGAGCCTTCCCTTCTCCACGTTGAACTCTGCATTGAGCTCCTCAAACCTGTACCACACGTCCTGACCCTTCAGATGCTCCTTTCTTCTTGACATTTTAAATTTGGTTTGTTACTTGTTTTTTTTTTTTAATGTTAAAGATTTTGAAGTCCACAATAATTCTAATTTCTTTATAAAGAAAAATCAACTTTCAAGCAGAGCTGGTAGAAAAAAAGTAGCAAGATCAAAATTTTATGGGTGCTCTTCAGCAGCCTGCTAAGGGGCTGGCACAGCAGCAACATTTCCAACTTACAAAACAGTTACTTAAATTAAAAGCACTAATCCATAACCTGTTTTACCAGTTTGAAAAAGGACACGGTTATTTATTTCAGGTAACATACTATTCCTACGGATTTGGAGTTTATGTGCAATTTTGATGTTGTTGAGATAATCTAATTATTGATAAGCAATCCTTAACCCATCTTTATCAGTGACAAGTTTCACTGGCACCTTTAGAAATTGTAAAAAAAAAGTTGCAAAGTAAAACCCAAATCTAATACACAGCAAATTTAATCTCTCAGTTTCTGCACTTGAAGTTTTTCTTCACAATTAGAAAAGTTAAAACAACGCCTCCAGGATGCAATTAAATAAGCAGCTCCAGTGAGGATGCAGAACTGAAGTGCCTCACAGAGGTAATGCAGAGGAGATGGTGAGACAGGAACCGAAAGGTGCAGCCATTAATATGTTTTTGTGTTGATTTTCTTCTTATGCAGAAGAGGAATTGGAAGTGTACAACCCATGTGATTTCTCGTAGCAGAGTGTTTTTGCTGTGCCTGAAGCGGGAGGTGTGTCCCTCAAGGGAGAGGGAGGGGACAGAGGACAGGAGGGAGTGTCCAGCGAAGCTCAGGTCAGTGTCCTCTTCCTCCTCCCTCCTGCTGCCACGGAGAGCCTTGGTGCCCCCCCAGGCACTCCAAAGGCAGTATTGGGTCACTTTTCCCCCAAAACACACAGCAGAGGAAGATCCCAAACGCCCTCCCAGCTCAATCCTTCAAATACTGACAAGAAACACGGCAGAGAACCTCGAGCACCTTTCCAAGGGATGTTTAATAGTTTTCCTGTTTAATACCGATGTTCCACATACACCCAGCGGGGTCCGAGTGCCCCTCCAGCACCTGTGGGTCCCTAAGGCACTCAGGAGGGAGCTCAGTGGGAGAAATCCAGCGGGAATGTTTCCACCACATGGCACCAGCAGTGAATTCTGCAGCAGCTCTGCCCCCCTTTGATTTGTGTGAGGGCGAGTCCTGCACCAGCAGCTCCCTGGGAATTTGGCAACTTTGTCATCACCAACTCACTCTTCTCACCCCCGCTGGGGGAAGTCTCGGTGTTCCCACTGCTTTCCAGATATTCAAATTTTAGTAATACAGTTTGGAAACCAATGGATTGGTTCTCCTCTATCAACTCACCCCTTCCAAAGGCCCACGTGCCCTCCCTCGGGAAGCACCTCCAGTTCCAGCTGCAGGACTCAAGGCTCAGAGGATTGTGCGTTACTCCAGTCCTACCTTACAGCATTTTGCCATCAAGAAAGTACCTTGAACGTAAATCAAACTGCCTTGAAACAGCGGAAATAAATTAAACAAATGTAATTTGCTTATAAAAATATTTTCTTATAAATCTTTAAAGCTTATAAAAGCCAGAAAATACATTTAAAAGAATCTCTGGAAGATTTCACCCTTTGAGGCGTGGTTACAGTTCAGAAAGTGAGAAGCAGCAAAGCCCACAGACCTCTCACACTGATCTTCCCACCAGGAATTCCATAGTGTCATGCTTAACCTCCAAGTCAGAATGCCTTGGGCATCCTTCCCCGGGTCAGCTGCCCTGTCAGATCATTTCTGTGTGAAAATAAAAGCTGGCACTCAGCTGGCAATGCTGCTGCCTCTGCAGCCAGGGCACGAGGAGCTTTCCCAGAGGTGCCTGTGGAATCAGCAGCCAGGGGTAAGCACGGAGCACTGAGGTGCAGCTTTAGCCATTCCTTTCTGAACTGAGCCTGTGCTGTGGTGCCTCAGCCACACAGATCTCCCTGGTGTGGCACACAAACACCGAGATTCCGGGGTGCTGATTATGGGATATGTCTTTGTAATAAAACTAAAACCACCTTGCTGGTCCGTCCAACACCTGAGTGCATCAATTGCTCCTCTTGCACTTCCACGAAGACTGTCCTTCATCCTGCAGCTTTTTGAACTTTGGTCCGAGGAAGAACCACCAGGCAAAGCCCAGGATGACACAGATGACAGACTCCACGTAGTAGCCGTCCAGGGTGGTGACACAGGAACCCCCAGCTGCTGTGCACAGCTAAAACAGAGCACAGGTTAATGCACTGAGCACACAGCACTCCAGAGCTGCTTGGCTCTCCCTGCTCCTGGGCAGCACTAAATAGAGCTGTTTACTCTTTGTTGTTTCCTATACAGTTGGTCAGAGAGGCTTTGGAGCTCAGCAGCAGCAGGAAAAGTAACAAAGTACCAAACCTGCTCTAAACATGTGGGAAATGGAGCACATCAGCCCAAAGGGCAAACTCCACAAAACACAAATGGCCCCACTGTCTGTGCAGGCCTGGAGGTGCAACCACTGCTCCCAGCCTCAGAGAAAGATTTCTATCCTAGCCATCCTTGCTGTGGACTCCCCAGACCTGGCAGTGTCCCAGGCCAGGCTGGACATTGGGGCTTGGAGCAACCCTGGGACAGTGGAAGGTGTCCCCCACAGCAGGGGGTGGCACTGGATGGGCTTTAAGGCCCTTCCAACCCAAACCATTCCATGGTTCTGTGATTCTGTATCTGGGAGAAACACACCCAGGATGGTTTTGAACTGGAAGACAAACCCCCAGCATTCACAGGGTGATTGTACAGCCCAGGATTGTTTCTGCTATTGTTTGGCTTTCAACACTGCTCTAATCCCAGGATTAATCAATCCTCTGAGCTGAGGCTCTGTCAGCATTTTCATTATTCTGAGACATGTCAAGATCAGATTAGGAATAAGATGGGAGTGGTGGTGGTGGTGGAATGTCAGGAGGATGTGAGAAAAGATCAGAGGAGTGAGGTGAAGGAGGAAGGACTCAAGTTCAGTAGAGGCTGAGACACAAGGAACCTAATTAGTGACAAGCTAATGTGTGAGAGGCTGGGAAAGCATTGGCTGCAGTGATGTCTCCCCTCTGCACCAGCAAAAACTGCAACTCCAGTTCAGACAAGTCATGCTGCACTCCAGAACACTTTGATCATTTAGAGAACCTCCACGTCCAAGAGCATCCTGGAATTTAGGAGTGAAATGAATCTCAGTCATGAGCACAGACAAAAAAAACCCCAAATATTTCCACTCTTCAGCCATGTCAAATGTCTCATTTGCTGTGAGGAGGAGAATTTGAAATGCTGCTTTCCCAGCAGTTTTGTGTCCTGTTGTTTGATCTGTGTACAGCAAGGTCTTTGTTCTCTTCCACAGGGCTCCTAGAACTGGGAAGACTGCCAGTCCCACTTGATTTAATGGGGAAAGTGGACACCAAAATCAGAGAGCAGAGCAGCATCTTGGAGATCAAGGCAGGCAGATAAGAACCCTCCAGGGAGACAGGAGGAAGAAAAACCTACCACAGAAATGGAGGGCCCTGGGGGACAGAGCCCGCCAAGGACAGAGCCCCTGATTGCACAGCTCAAAACCATACCCACAGGCTCCTCACACTGCACAGAATGTGGCACCAGTCTGCTGCTTCCCCCCCAGCTCAGCACAGGAAGAAAGGGCCCCCTGCTCTGCAGCTGCAAACCCTGGGTAAGGGCTTGGTTATTCAGAGTGTGCAGGTGCTAACAGACTGGATTTTATCAGACACGAAAAGGAGCTCCAGCAGTGAGAATTTTTAAGCATGAGCTATACATTGTGAAGCTTTTCAAAGGTAAAACTGCAAGAAGCCATTTAACTGAGAGACTGAGCAGAGACACCCCCCCCCCCCAGCTCCCAGACTCACCTCTGCAGCTTCTGCAGTGGCACAGGTGTGGCCCTGGGCCCCAGCACACTCCTTCACTGTCAGGGGGTCCACCAGCCACAGGGCCACCGTGGAGGGCCAGTTGCCCCCCAGGTTGGAGACAGTGTTGAGCAGGGTCATGTAGGTGCCCCCGATGAGCGGGTCGCTGACCTTGGCGTTGAAGGCCATGATGGCCACGTACATGCTGTACAGGGTGATCTGAGGGGACAAACACAGCCCTCTGTGCTTGAGACAGCTGGAACCCCCAGCACAAAGCCCTGCTGAGACATCCCCTGGATGCAGCAGCAGCAGCTTCTCCTGCAGCCTGACCCTGTGCTGACACGGGGAGTGGCATTGCTGCTTGTCTCAGGTCACGCTGCAACAGACCCGGCCTCACATGCACTGGCATGACTTGAGTTATCAAACTGAAATACAATCAGCCAGCTAAAATAGCACCTAAACACAACCCTTCAGCATCTAAAGTCACCTCTCAAGGCACTGCATGTACTTCAGTTCTGATCCAAACACCACGCTGGATCAGGTGTTTGTTTCCCAAGTCTTTGGATCAGATCCATTGTGATGTTCCTCCAACAATCACGGTTTTTTCCTAGGACCAGGATCACATAACTTTATTTATCTGCACAACCAGTGCATTCATCAGCATGCCCATCAAGCTCAGATGCAGTTCTGGGATTTCTCCAGTTTCTCTGGGCTTTTGAGTTG